CCCCCCCCCCCCCCCACGGGGTTTACATTGATAGGTGCATTAAACATGGGCTTTAAACTCAACGCATTGACTCCAATACCAGAAGCAGCAGCAGCCTCTGTGCCTTCTTCATTGACCTCGATAAAAGCTTTATGAACCACTTGTGAAACATACAGTGAATCTGCTGTGATACCACTGAAGTCTGCCTTGCCAGCAATGAACATTTCACTTGCTCCCATTCTTGACAAAACATCATTCAGACTAAACTGCTGTGTCAACTTGAACTTGGGCAGAAACACTTCCATTTCTTCAGGTCTTGAGGAATGAAGGGTAGACAGCGACTTCGCAAAGTTGTCATAGGTGATCCTTCCCTCTAAACTCACCAGGCCATCGGTTTCTACAGGAAGGAAGATTACCATGGACATCTTACTTCCTACATACGGCAACTCGAGTATCTGGCAACCAAGTTCCTCTGATTCGAAGAACTTGAAATGGGCTTCTTGGCGCATCATTTGCACTTGTACTTTTTGGTTTGCAGCCACAAAAAAGGTCCCTGGAAAAGTTTCTTCTTTCAGGAATGGTTGAAGCCATAAACCTTTAAAGTAAATTGCATTCACCAGAACCAATCTTGTGTCAGAACTTAGCATTCCAAGAGGAATAAGTCCTTTGATCTTGTCGTTTGTTTTCTGTTCCACCCACTTGTTAATCTCCTCTCTGACTTCTTCCGTGCGCTGTTTGTAATCCAGAGAAGAAATTTCAGATTCGTAAAACTCTTGAATCCCAGCTCTATACGACTTCAGGATTTCAAGGCTTTTCTCAATGAAAAGCTTATTTGCCGTGAGCAGCTTGGTGTTGTTGTCGCTTGACGAATTGAGGTTGGACAGAAACTTCTTCATGTTGGGCCCAGATGAGGAATCAGGGATTAGATGAAGAACACTCGCTAATTCCTCGGCAGTTTTTCCCCTTGCTCCAAAACAAGTCATCGCCAGAGCGATAAGAAGACTTGCAGGAGAATAGAAAAGGTTTTCGTTGACCAAATTGCCTTCATTTCTTAGGATCTCGTGAAGATCAAGAGCAAATTTGTTCTCAGACTGCGCCACAACCCCTAATTTGGCTGCCATTTTGTTTCGATTTTGAAAAATAATGGTTACCAGGTCCTCCCGGTCCTTTCACAAAGCGTGCATTTGGTCCCGTCCGCTTGGTTGGCAAGTAGTTCATGGTAGTCTCCACATAGACTCCCTAGACTACCACTATGAATTACTTGCCGCTTGGTTACGTTTCTTTCAGTTTGAAACGCTAAGCAGCGAAGGCAACGAGAACGGTAAAAGAAAACAAACAAACAAACAAACAGCAATAAGTCTCACTGGCAAAAAAAAAAAACAACTTTGCACGTGCAGCACACTTTTTTTGTACATTTCTTTGCCGTTGTTTTGCACGACTGCAACGTGAAACGTCCAGTAACGTCCTGGTTACACGTTTTATGGAGGAAGTGTCGTACGTGTTCTTGTTCACTTGTTCTTTTTTTCACTGTCGCTCATTTTCACCCTAGTGGCCGCCAACATCCCTCCGCTACAAAATTTCATGTTGTTCCTCCAACAAAAATGTCTCCCTTTGTTTTTTGTCTCTCGCTCTAGCTTCTTTTCTAAAAAAAATATATATATATATCTTTCACTGTCAGTTTCGGATGAGTTCTAATGACGTAAAACGTTTTTCTTTCAATAGATACCCACAAAAAACTTCGTCACAACTTAAAACTTATCCTTACAGTATTTGAATACCACAATGTATGTCTCGTTGGCAATTTGGTGCGCCGTAAGAGGTTTTTACCCTTAGTCTTTCAAGGCTTGTGCCGGTGGTGTTAGAGAGCAGATGTGCATCACAGACAAAATTAAGGCAGCGAAATTCTTAAAGATGACGACGGTGCCGACCGTGGCCCTGCACTTTCCATGTACAATAAGAACCTCCAGGCGAATGGTTAGGGCTACCAAGTTTGTAACTAATTCAACGATTTTGAGAAAAACGTTTGGTTTATAGCGTATTTGTTCGTTGGATTCCCCTTCAACGCCTTCAATGAATTCGTATTCAGCTATTTGCAATGACGAGACAATGACTGTAATGATCGCCCCAATCACCAGAAATATTGCCGAAAGATTAAAGGCTCCCAAAGAGCTCTCAAACGCGTTGTTCAACATTTCAATAGCATCGAAAAGATCAGCAACCATGAGAACAGATAAATTTCGAACAAGTTCTTTGTGACTCTTGGAGCTGAAGGAATCATCTGCGGTTGTCAACAACAGGATCAGTAGAATAGGTGTTATGCAAAGGGCAACCTTTATTTTATCGGCCAAATGGTAACAGTCGTAACACAGTACCATTCCTTCCAAACTTCCCTGAACTCCACATGCAGCGATGCAGCGATATGCTTGGCACTAAAACGATGCAAATGTAACACTGCCATCCGAGAAATAACTGAGAACAGGAGCCCATCAAATGGAGCCTCCATCTCCATTAATTTCTTGAGTCAACCCTTTCCCGAGTAGATTTATAAATAGAACGGCTTTTTTCCCGCGAAAAGTGTCATATTTCCATGTTCTCGTATGTCACCGTGAAAAAAATGAAGTTGGATGAAGTCGAACTCAGAAGCCCGTCCTTCGACCGTTTTCCTTTTTACTATACGTCCATTTTTATGATTTTACAGCCGCTGGGATCTGGGTATCATGAAATAAAAGTTAATGGATTACCCGACTGAGACTGAGCATGAAGCGATGGGACAAAGGCAGCGAACTGAGGATCACTGAAAGGTTATCTTTGCGAGTGTTTTTATTTGTCGTCATACATTCCACAAGTAAGCATGCACTTCGAAAAGAGTCG